AATTAGGATGTGTAAAGCAAAGAGGTAAAATAAGCATCAGGGTCAAATTGGTAACCATGAAGTAAGCCAGTCAGTTAGTTAGATCCCAGCCCCTATCTTGAGTAACCCTCTTTGTTTTAGTGGTGGTTTGTTCTGTTTTGTTTTTTTGAGATGGGGTTTCTCTGTGTAACCCTGGCTGTCTTGAAACTCACTGTGTAGACCAGGCTACAAGACTCAAGAGATTTGCCTGCCTCTGCCTCCCAAGTGCTGGGGTTAAAGGCGTGCACCATCATGCCCAGGTGAGTAACCCTTTTTGTAACTCTAATTTTAACAAGTATTTGTAATACGGAAGGATCCTAGGGGACAGCGTGAGATTTACTGTGCTAATGGGCATCATAGATAGATGATTTTGCCAGAGAGAAGGGAAGTGAACTCCTTTTGGTAGAGAGGAACTAGTTTCCTTTGGACCTAACATTCCAGCCTTTAGTTAATGGCAAGGGACAAAGTACTCTGTTCTATAACTGCATGCCAGCTAAAAAATGGGACTTTGTTGTCAGGGTTCAGGAAGGCTACAAAGCTGGCCAAAGGCTGGGGGGTGGGGTACCTCTGGTTTGCTGGACTGTATGGAGCTAGCAGAGTACAGGTAGTCTGGGGGCAGGTCGGAATGCTGACCTAAAGTAGAGGCTCAAGCTGTAGGACATTTTGTTAGAAGCATCTGGTGCACATTAGATTTCAACAAAACTGCAGTCATTGTGGAGGAGTTTGCAGACTGAAGTTGATTGGAAATCTGCTGGGACAGAGCCTTTAGGTGAGGAAGTTTAGGCTGTGGACTGACAGGAGTACTTATCTGGAGTCTGTCAGGTGGGTCCAAGTTGCAACAACTCCCCTGAAGCTTACATGAAATATTTTTTAAAGTTAACAAACAGAGGTAAAGTTTTAGTTACATCAGCATCATCACTGTTTGTGACCTGCCCTGAAATCCTCATTATAGAAACAGCAGTTAACCAGTGTCTGCAAGCAGCTGAAGTTGACCCATGCCTTTGAGCCATTGCAAAAGCTTGGGAACCCCAAAAAAATGATTCAGGGCTAAAAGCATGAACACTCTTTCCTCTGTTCCTGGCTGGGTATATAGTTTCGTCAGCCATGTTTTCAGCACTATCAGGAACACTGTGTATACTTAGAAAACAACCACAGGACATTTTAACAATTGAGCTTGTGGGTATGGTAATAGTAGTCAAGTGCTTTCCCAGAGCTAGATTAGCAGTTTATTAGAACTCCATGGTTAATGTTAAAACTCTGAACTTCTGAAGTTAGAATAACAACAGCATAGCAAGAAGGAAAGAAAAACTGAAACTTTACAAATGTTGTAAATGTTGGGGCAGAGGTCAGGGGCATGTTTCAAACAGAAGCAGATGTCTTTGGCCATCACACGGGGCAGAATTACCTCTGGCTGCCTTCAGCTGCCAGGCCCAGAAGGTTGAGATATATTCTTGTGGAGGAAGAACTTGAGAGATTGGCCTACCTTGGCAAGGCAAAGAGGGGCATCAGTTCTCCGGTGCCCTGCTTGTTCACAGTTTGGGCAGGGGCCCGGAGGTAGGCAAAGCATGGAGCAAGTATTTGCCCGGTGGTTAGCATCATCATTATCCTCATGGGGTCCTCTGTGTCTCAACATAGTCTTCAGAGAAGACCTTAGAGTCCTTCTTAGGAGCTGGCATTTTTGTCTATTTTGGGAAGTTTCTTCTTATTAAACATTTTTTTTTGAAGCCCCAGGAAATAGTTTTTTTTTTTTTTTTCTGATTTTAACATTTTAAATGCTGTATATAGCAGATCTGAGGACGTTGAGGCCCAGCATCTAGTCTATTTGATATATCTGATTTTAAACAAACTTTGCTTATTTTTTTAGTTACTTTAAGCTTAACCTTGAAAACATACAGAAGGTTAAACTTGTCTCCGTAAGTGAATTCCACTTGCATTTAGCATGACGACAAATATCATATGGCGCACATTAAAGAGCTTGACCATTCATGAGACAACTATTAACTTGCATGTCTTAATTATCTTTAATAGTTTATAGTAATTTAACAACTTTTACAAGATTTTTATATAGTTTTATCCTTGTTAAGTTTTAGCCTTAAAATTTTGAAGATTTAAACTGAAAATCCTTTAGAATCAAAATAAAACTTTAAACCATAAATACAGTCCACAGACAGATTGGGGGACTTATCTATCTATATCTATCTATCTATCTATCTATCTATCTATCTATCTATCTATCTTTCCTCCCTTTCTTTCTTTCTTTGTATCTTTTTATATCACAGTTTTTTTATATGACTCAATTTATCCAAATATTAGCAAATATTTGGTAACGAAGTTACCAAAGACCAGGAGGCCAGACATGTTATCTCTAAGTTTCTCTTAACCTGAGTAGACATTTATAATGTTAAAAAGTTGAAAATCTTAATCATTAAATAATTTTTTTCTTGGAGTTTTACATGCCCCTCCCCACTTAGAGGTCTTACAGATCCTGAGAGAAAGAAAGTTTACAGCTTACCAAGAGTTTTGAGTAACTATCACTGAGAATGCAGGACCTTTTCATATTTATTTATTTATTTATTTATTTATTTATTTATTTTTGCTAATAAGAACTAAGAAAAGGGGGAAAAGGCAGAGTTAGATATTTGTAATTAAATTTAACCATCCTAATTGTTATATAATTTTTTATTTAAAAGTTTAAATAACATGAGACATACAGTAACATAAATATACCATTTTATAAATTTTTCCTAAAAGAGGTGTTAGACAACATGGGAAGATTTTACCCAGTATATGTAACAGCTTTTGGTTGCTACATAGATGGACTCTCTCTTTATTCTTAGTTTTTAGCCTGCATACCCTAGTTTTCCTAACAAACCTTGAGGCCTCATGCAATTTAGGGGCTCATGGCATACAAGTAGCTGGGAGGAGTGACTGGATACTAGAGGGAAGAGACAATGACCTTGTCTATCTCTGCCTTTTTGAAGGAATATTAACTTTTAAAAAAAGATTTATTTTCAACTCATGTGTATTGGTGTTTTGACTGCATGTATGTCTGTGCGAGGGTGTCAGATTTCCTGGAACTGGAATTACAGACAGTTGGGAGCTGCCATGTGGGTGCTGGGAATTGAACTGAGGTCCTCTGGAAGAGCAGCCAGTGCTCTCAACCACTGAGCCATCTCTCCAGCCACAGAACATTAACTTTTAACGAGCCCAGCTCTGATTATTTTAAGCAAGTCTATCTGGAGTTATCAATGAGAGATTTTAAACACCGGGTTTCATTTACTTCATAACCAGCTTGCGTGTCTGCAGATGGAGGCAGACAACCTGAAAAGCTTCATAGGTATTTTTTTCCTTATAAGGTCATCAAGTTGCAGAGTAATGTAAGTATCTGTAACCTAGAGGACATTAAACAGAAAACTATAAAAACAAAGACACTAGTGGGAACTCAGAAAGTGTTAGCATCGGGTTGCTTTTGTGTTTACAGATTTTTAACCATATCCAGTGAACTTACAAATCTTAAGGCACAGAAAGTCTATATAATAGTCTTACAAGTCTTGAGATAAGTTTGTATTTTAACAAAAGTCTGAGAGAGCTAAGTAAAACCAAGGAAAGGAGAAGAGGTAAGCAGCTGTAACTCTGTTGGACAGTTTACTTTTTAGCTGTTTTAAAGCACCTGGTGTCTTTCCTGGGCTGTTTGGCTTTTCCTTTCGCTGACAGAGGCAGGAGGCCTGTCTGACCCAAGACAGAGATTCTGAAGAAAACTTTTAAACAAGCATGCTTTGGTCATGAGAGAGAGCCATAAATCCAACCCCAGAGCCAACTTTTAATAAAGTAGAACAGCATAGAAGATTTTGATATCATCCATACTCAAATGACCCCTCAATCCCTGTAAAACAAAATCTGGTGACCAGAGCAAGCAGAGAACAAAGAAGGGTTAGAGATAAGACATTCTGGGTGTGGGCCACTGGCACTGGCACATTGAGCAGGTGGTGGAAAAACAGAGGGCTTATGGGGCCTGTAAGGGCTGTGCTGGGCATGGGGATGGGGGTGGGGCTTAGCAGGGCAGGGGGTGGCAGTAGCCAGACCTCTATGGGCAGAGACAGGAGCCAGCTAAGAGAGAAAGAAAGCAGGAAAAATACATCCTTCAGAAGCAGAGCTAGAGAAAAGGATCGAAAACAAGAGGTGCCTGAGGTACCTGTGGAACTTAAACAGCAGGCTCCAGCGAGCCAGTGAGACAGAGACAAGAGCAGGCAGCTCCTAGGACAAGATGAGGAGAGACAAGTAGCCATGGTTATAGGCAGGGTAAGCTGCAGGAGGAAGTGAACAAGAGAAACAGAGCATGCTCCTGAAGGGAGCTAGGAAACAGCAAACTCCAGGGGAGAGCTGAGACCCTGCGGGGAGGGGCAGCATCTTTCAGGTTTGGTTTCCCATGCTGCAACAAAACTCAGAAGCATACCAGAAACCACAGACCTACTGAGCAAAATATCTACACAGTCCCTGGAGACCAGACAAGCACAGACATTTGGTGGCTATCTTCACTCACATGCCAGAACCAGGTTTGGGGATTAAGGGGGGACAGCACAATATCCCCCACTCTGTCCCTGGAGATTGGGTCTATGGTCACATCTGATCTCCCCCTTATCTACCCAGATGTCAGGACTTCCAGAACAGCTAACCAATTACTCTGGGTTTCAAATGTGTGTTGGGCAGTAACTTTTACTTTTGTTTTGCTTACAAATTTGCAATGGTCAATCTGGGGTTCCCCTGGGCCTCCAAGTCCACAATGTACTCGCACCCCTCTAGGCCTGTCACCAACTAGTGACTCTAAATTTGGGGTAGCCTTGATATCAGGCTTTCCCAGGCCTCACCCAGCTTAGGACCTATCCTGAAACCCCTGCCCTTATGTGTGGGGTCTCCCAGGGATCCCAGACAAGCCCCCACATGTTATAGAGTTCTAGAACCCCAGGAAAAGACCACAGACTCAATCTGGATTATAATTAGTAATAAATTTATTGAAACTACTAGAAGGACACCAGTCTCTGAGCCAAACTAGAGACTACTGTGTGAAGGGAAGGATTTGTAATGGCAAAACCCACATCGAGTGTCTGCACAAGCAAGCCAGGAGCTGTGCTGCTCTGCCAAGGTTAGGTAATCAGGGTTAACCTCAAAATAGGCCTTGAATGTCTGCATAAGCGGGGTACAGTAGCCAAACGAGCAGTCAGTCATGTCATAACAAGTAGATGGTCATGGCTATACATTTTTGGGTAGGAGTCACTGAGTCAGGGTTACTGGGATCTTCCAGGAACTGGAGTCAGAGAGAAATGGCTAGTGGGTTCCAAGTTGAATACTTACCATAAAATGGAGTTTCTTTAGCCATCACACCTGGACACAGGACATGTCCTCCTGTGTCCCTGTAAAGCGTCCCCATCTCACTCAGTAGGAACAGGTTTATCCAAACTATTGGGGTGAGCGCTACTTGTGGTAGTGCACCCTCTGGTGCTGGATGAGCTGAAAGCTCTGGCCAAAAGCTTTGCCACAGGTGCCGCAGGTGAAGGGTTTCTCACCCGTGTGGGTCCGTAAGTGCCGGAAGAAGTGTGACCGTCCTCGGAAGGCCTTGCCGCAGTCTTCGCACTTGTAGGGCTTCTCGCCCGTGTGAATGCGCTCATGTTCGATGAGCACTGAGCTCCAGATGAAGGCCTTGCCGCACTGGCTGCAGACATACGGCTTTTCCCCAGTGTGCAGCCTCTGGTGGCGGACCAGGTTGGAGCTCTGGCTGAAGGCATGACCGCATTCGCCACACTTGTAGGGCCTCTCGCCTTTGTGGATGCGCAAGTGCTCTGTGAAGTGCGAGCTTTGGCTGAAGGCCTGGCCACACTGGCCGCACTCATAGGGCTTCTCACCTGTATGGATGCGCTGGTGCTGCATGAAGCCCCACCAGCTCCGGAAGTGCTTGCTGCACTCACGACAGGTGTAGGGCTTCTCCCCCGTGTGGATGCGCTGATGCTTTAGCAGAAGAGAATTATACTTGAAGCTCTTACCACAGGCCTCACAGCGGTGTGCCTTGGTGCCCCGTGGGCCCGCCTGCCGGCAGTCTTGACCCAAATCACTGCCCAGTTTAGCAGTCTTCTTGGCGCTACCCTGAGTCCCCAGGGCTCCCTGGGGCAAGAGTACTATGGGCCAAGTGTCTCTCTTCTGAGAGCAGGGCATGGTTCCTGGATGCAAGCCTGTTGGCTGCTCCGAGCGACATTCCTGGTCAACCTGGTCAACGTTGTCCCCACACTTAGACATGCCGGGAAGGCTCTTGAAGAGAGGCCCCTCAGCGCCCTTCCATCTGAGGCCAGCCCATCTCCAAGACTGCAGGAGTTGAGAGAGGCTGGAGTCTTCTCAGGCTGCCACTCTGAGTCTGAAAGGAGAAATGGCAGACAGCTCCTAGTCTCATCCCTACTGTGGGATTCTAGGAGCTGAGCCCAGGGAAAGCCTGAATGGAGACTATTCAGAGGAGGGGGAGAGGCTGGGTGGGGAGTGGGGGGGGTGTGTGTGGGGGGGTGTAAGGTGGGGAGAGGGGTGTGCCAGAAGACTTAGGAAGATGGTGTCAGGAGCAGAGGAGCAGCCAGGCCCCGCCTGTTGGAGGCCCTGAGCTGGAGGAGCCTCACTGGTGGCTAACCTGTTCTGTGATGCCTCTCTTAGCTGGGAAAAGTACAGGTTGCTATTAAAAGCTAGCAAGGACCTGGAACTTTGAGAACTCTCAAAAGTGGTCCTTCAGACTGAGGTGGCAAGAATGCCTGAGGCCTGGCCTGCCAAAGAGATTAGATCTGGACGGGGCTAGGCCTGATTCACAGTTTCATAGGGACCAGCTATGGCTTCCGTCACAATCACAATCAACTCCCACCCACCCACCCAGCCTCTACGAGTAGACAAAAAATGGGTAGCTAGGCTCAAGCTGAGACCCAGGCAGGATGGCCTGGCCCCCAACACATCCAGGGAAGTGCTGTGTTGCATCCAGCTGGGGGCTCCCAAGGCTGCCTGAGGGGTGGCGGGCTGCTCACTCACCAAGCCAGGGGTCTCTGGGGATCTCTACTTCCTCTCTGTCTTGGAAGTTGGGGTCTGCTGTGTGGGAAGGCACCTCAGGGCTAGAACAAGGAGAGCCTGGAGGCAGAGGACTAAGGCTCAGGCCCTCCTCTCCAGAGGGCAGCATCCTGCCCCTTCCCTCCTTCCTGAACTTAGAGAAAGACTCCAAGGCTCTGGGGCCAAGACCAGGATACACAGTACACTCCTCACCCACCCAGCATCTCCTTATGCTCCCAAAGAGAAGTTCAGATGGGTGAGGTGCCACTGCCTTGGCTTGCCCATTCAAGTAAACCCTCTCAAGGAACTCATTCTCCCTTAGTTCTGTAGGCAAGCACACACCCGGCTACCCAGACAGCTCTTGTGCCTGTGCTTGCTGGCTGATGCCCTGGCTGACTCTGGCCTTGCCTCCTTTCCACCCATCCTTGCTCTTACTTTGCACACAGCCCTGCAGCCGCCCCCCCCCCCCCGGTCCCATCTTCTCAGTTCTTAGCATCACAAGCCAGCCCGGCTTGTCTGTGTATGCAAAGTCAGGGAGAGCCTAGAAGGACCGCCTTATCCCCTACAGCCTAGGCTGGCCTCCTGCTCATAGGTTGCCAGGGTGGACTGGGCTGTGGCGTGGAGCCTTTCCTGGAGGCCCCTGTCATAGAGACCCTTATGTGCCCTGTCCTTGTGCTTTTCTTCACCTCCTACTACTCCCAAAGGACCCTGAAATGACCGTGTAAAAGGTCACTTTGCAGGTTGCTGGGACCTAGATATTCTGGGCCTCTTGGGGAGCCCAAGGTTCCATGAAGTCCTGGCAGAACTGCAGGCAGGTTTCAGAACATTGGGATCTTCTCTGGTAAAGAATGTGTAGAATGAGCCCAAATGGTGTGACACAAGGTAATTCCAGTTACTCAGGGGGGCTAAGGCAGGGAGACAATGCTGTGAGACCCTATCCCCCAAAAAGACAAACAAAAATGGAATCCATGGGCCTTTGAAAGTAGGAGAATAGCTTGTACTCTGAGCTTGCACCCTGACCTTGCTGGTAGCTAGGAAGCAGGCATAGAGACCACCTATCACCTGTATATCTGTGCAAGGGGTGATAGCCATTCCCTTATCTACCTCCAGACACTCAGCGATCTTCCCAAGCTTCACTATGACTTGGTAAAGTCCCTGCCACCAACAACCATCCCTTAGTCCAGAACCCACCTGGTTTACTTGTTCACAGGCCCACCAGAGACAGCATAATGCTGTTCAGCTCTATCTAAGAATTGTTCTAGGAATAGGCAAAAGGGTCCTGGAGCCAGGCAGCAAACAGGACAGGGCTTGGGGTCCCTACATGGTCTGGGGTTGACCCCTGTGGTTCCCCAGGGAAGTGTGATCTCTCTGTCCTCATCCGTGAATGTCCATCTGTAAGCTGTGGCTGGGCTTTGGCATCACCTAAGGGAGCCTGGCACAGAGCACAGCTGCCTTCCATAAAGCCCAGCTTCACTGTATCAGCCATGAGATGTCTAGGCCCGCACAGAGAGCTGGTCCCATGTGGGATCTCCTCACTGGCATCTCAAGAGAACAGTGAAGCTTCTTATGTGCCTCAGGGATGAGCCTCTGGACTACATGGCCACTGAGACCTGAGGTGTGCTCAGTGGCGTGATAGAGTTGACACCCCTAATACTTCAACTGTACCAGTTGACTGATGAGGCCAGCCCATTGGAGTGAATCCAGGATGGCAGCTCTTGTCCCTGCAAGTCTTGAGGCAAGCACACCCAAATTAACCAGGGAAGAATGCTGCTTCTCTTCCTGGTCTAGGATGTGCTGTGAAAGGGAGATCTTCCCTTCCTAATAACTGGGCCCATTCTGAGGCCATTTTCCCTTTTATACTGAGGAAGGAACATACCCAGGGGGCTGTTCCCTGGGGTCAGTCAGAGGGTGGCCTTTACCACTGCTACCTTCCACCACTCCTTCAGGGCTCTTCCCAGACACCCCCCCACTCCCACCCCTCCACCCTCGTGCTGAATGAGCTACCTAAGTGAACACTACACTCCCTCAGCCAGCCAGACATAGGTCAGATCACTCTCATGGGGTAGAAGTGAGGGAGGGGCCTAGCAGTCTGGAGCAAATACCCTGAGGGTGCCTATGGAGTGCTCCATGGTGCTGGTCTCCAGCTGTCCCTGGTGACAAGAGACTGCTGAGTGATAGGAGAGGAAGGGACTCCTCAACATCCTCTAGTGTGGCCATCTTCCTGAGCCCTGCTCACCTGAGGGCAATGAAAACCAAGGAGGATGATGGGAAGAGATTGTTGTTGAAGAGCACCATGTCAGCCCCTGAGCGGTCCTAGATGATCCTTAGCTTCTCTTCTTAGCAACAGAAGGCTGCCAAGAAAAGGCAGGTGACCTCCTGAGGAGCTGTAGGACCCACAGTGCAAGGGCCTGAATGCTTATTCAGTGTGAAACTCTCATGATTACTGGCGGCCTCCCCAGCAAGGCAACGTGGCCCCAAATGCTAAGGAAGCAATTCGACCAACTGAGCCCCATTCTCGGCTTCTCAGTACCGTATCCTGAATGTTCTTCCCGATATAGCCTGCAGAGAACAGAATGCTTATTCTAGCAGCGAATACTCCAGCGCCACAAATGAGGCTCTGGTTCCAGTATGAGGCATCAGAATCCTAAATCCAATGTTTAAAAGGGTTATTTCATAAAAACCAGAAGAGATACATTTCCAGAAGGAAAACTTTTCCTCAGATCCTGAAGAGTCTGAGGCTGCTATCCCCAAGCCCAGATTTCCCACAGCGCCGCCCACAGGTGGTGTGTGTGTGTGTGTGTGTGTGTGTGTGTGTGTGTAACAAAGGCAGATTTCCAGGCTGGGGACGAGGCTCAGTTGATTGAATTGCTTGCTTAGCACGCCTTACGCCTTGGCCCAATCCCCAACACCACAAAAACTGGGTGCAGCGGAGCATACCTCTAATCCCAACACTTGGGACGTGAAGATTGCAGAATAATAAATTCAGGGGCATCCTTGTTTCCACAGCAAGTTCGAGGCCAGCCTGAACTACACGAGACTTGAGAAAAATAAAAGGGGACGGAATTTTTCCTTAACTTGGTTTGCCATAAACGGATGAAAGCCAAAGAGAGAGCCTGGTTTTCTTCCACAAAGTGACGAGGGGTTGAGAGGATGACATGGGGGGAGATGCAGCAGCACCCGCAGGGAGGCGGAGACGTTGGGTGCAGGCGCGGGGCGGACACTGTGGAGTCGCTCTACTGGGTCCCCTAGATTGAAACCACTCAGAGGGCTCGGGCTGGGGGTGTCCGAAGTTACTGCAGGAGAAACAGGCACCCATGCGAATGAACCGAAGGGTCCAGGTTGGAACCACTGGAGAGGGGCGACCACTCACCTTGCGAAAGGGAGGAGGCAGCCCGCGCGAGCCGGCCGGAAGTGCTCCCACTCTGGGAGGCCCCGCCCCCGAATCCGGGACGCTCTGGACCCCGGAGGACCAAGCATCGGTGGCCTCTTGACACGCAAAGCCTTTAAGCCTTGTAGCTTCCTAGCAGAGGGTGTCTGTCCAGTGGCCCAATACAGTCCGGTCTGGATGATCTGCTTTCAAATTGGCCGAAAAGCCCGGCAGAGGCCCTCATTTCTGCGCGAGGCAGAAGTGTGAGAGCCCGGGTGTTGAGCCTCGGAGAGTGTCATAGTGGCATCATTGGAATTGGCCCCAACCAGGACCACACACGATGCCACAAGCTGTAGCTAACCTTACCTGGTCTTGCAGACTGTCAGGGGTGCGTCCTCGCATAAAGTCGTTAAAAATTCTCCCTGCAAATAGATTTCCACCTCAGGACGCTGGAAGGTGCTGTTCGCAGTGACTGAGCCACAGCCAGTTGTTAAGGAGACTATGAGAAAAGACCCCCTTAATTCAGATTATAATGAAGCAAAATTTTAAGGCTGCTAGCAGGGCCACAGTCTCTAACCCATATCAGAGACGTGCTGCCCAGAAGTGGGTCCAGGAAGAAGAGGTTTTAAGGGCAAAAACCACAGATAGCTTTGTTTTGCCAAGATTACACTATGAAGGTGATCTCAAAATAGTCCTTGAATGTCTGCATAAACAAGTTAGAAAACCAAACCAGCAGTTAGTCATATCATAACAAGCAGATGGGCATGGCTATACATTTCTTAGGGGAGGGGAGTGTCAAGGAGTCAGGTTATATTAATTGAGTTTCAGCCTAGTGGGCCTGGAGACCCTGGCCTTCACACTCAGATGCTAAGGAAGAACCTCCAGGCTTGGTGCTTGGGTTTGCATTCTTAAATGCAAAGTAGTAGAAAAGGCCTCTGTTGGGTTTGCTGGATAGAGAATTAGGGCACACTCAACACAAGCTATCCAACCGATTGATTAGAGCTGGCCCTCTAGGGTGTGTTCAGGAGTGCAGGGGGCTCCATCTCACCTAAAACCTCCCAAGCTTTTCCAGGCAGGAGAGCTAGTTAACCCTAGAATCACTTATTTGAGGTTCTGAGACCCATACACAGGCTCCCAGATCTTAGTAGGCCCCAGACCTTAAAACAATTGACTCCATGGTGGCAGTACCATTCAGGCCATAAAATTCAGCACATAGACATCACCCACCTGCCAAAACGAAAACAAAGACCTAATTTATCAAAGTCCATACTTGCGGGAAATCCTGAAGTGTATTATCCTTGCTTTTTGGCTTCTGTAGTTGTGCTTCTAGTTAACTGTTCTTGTTAACTCAAGTATGCCAACCCAGGATATGGTATTTGTGCTTAAAAACTCACCCTGAAAAAGGCTCGGTGCTACACTGGGGTCCTGAACACCCCGTGTAGTCTTTGGCCAGCTAATAAAACTTTGTTGGCTTAAACCCATGTCTAAGCAGCCTTCTCTGCTGGATAACACACATTTCTGGAGGTCCCACAGAGATTCCCCAGAGACCAGACCCTGATACACAGGGGTGAGGGCAGGGGCTGGTCCTCAAATGCTCTCAGAGCAGGGGAGAATGCAGTGGTCAGGGAGCTCCTAGGAGGTGCACAACCTGAGATGTTCTAGGTCCCGAGGACCCCCTTTGATCATTGCTGCCTTGGGAGAGCTCTGGCACCTGCTCCCCAAAAGGAACCTGTAGCCACCCAGTGGGTTATGGTGGAGTAGGGACCACCTGAAAGGAGGGCTGGCCATTAAAGTAATCAAAGCTACAACACCTGTTATAATAAACCAATCATGTGTTTAGGCCTGGCCAATGCCTTTGTTAACTCTTTAATTACCTGTAAACAAACCTTTGTCATCAAACCAATCTTCAGTAATATTTACAGGAACCATCACAAAAGCAGGTTGTTGTAAAATCATTACAGAATGTTTAGAATAGGCCCTTAAAAGACAATTAGTCAAATTATAGCCAACACAAGACACATTTTTAGAATGTAGATGAATTTTAATATCTCCTACTAATAAGACATAAGGCATGTGAATACATGTTGTAATAGGCTCTTTTATTCAAGCTGGGCTTGATCTTTCAGGCTGAGCACTCACATCATCCAAGACAGCACCCAACTTCTATACGTATCTTTGTTGATGACCTGAGTGAGTCCAGCAGAGTCCAGCAGAGAAAGCTGGTGAGGAGATAGGTGGAGACAGAGAGCCAGTAGCATAATTAGTCATACTAGCCACTCCCCTATATTCTGACCAGTCCAAAATCTTGAAGTCAGTCCCATGAGGCTGATAAAGCACAGACTTATTCCCCACACATCTTTTCCAAGGAATTGTGACATTTGTGCATTCCCTCATCCCACAATGAGGAAAATCCTGCAGTGCCCGGTATCCCTCAGTCTCTAGGCCAGTGAGTAAAGTTACTCGAATGCCATTTAAACCATCTTTGCATGTGTCACGATCTTTTCTCTGCAATGTAGTAAGAGATACTCTCCGACATTCAGCATCTTCCGCTTTGAAAAGCTTAGGAAAACACAAGTTCCCAATCCTTGGTAATTAATTTCTCTACTGACAGTGACATTTCCTCCAGCAGGCATATCCATTGACTTAGTGTTGTTTACCGTTACCACAAGTTCTGAGCTTTCCGATACTGTTGGATGTAAAGGGGGTGGATCAGGGACATAGGCCCAATACAGCTTCCCTGTCATCGTTGTCAGGTCACCCTGCAACTCAGGATCAGCATCATTCTTTATCCCAGCATTAGCATGACTCACTAACCACGATGGCAGCTAGCATGCTCCTTCAGCATTTTGTAGAAAACATACAAACATGTCCTCTTCCCCATATTAATACCTGATCAGGATCATGTCATGTGTCAGTAAGTGTGTCCTTCCATCTGACCTAGGCATAAGTATTCCTAGTTGTAGGGTGCCATAGACATTCAAAGAGTTCCTTGGCATCTAAATTTTAAAATAAAAAGAGCGTGATTTAAATAATTTCGTGGTGTATGGGGATATAATTTTCTCTTTTTTTATTTTATGAAGATATTGTTTTAAAGTTTTATGGGCCTGTTTTATAATATCTTGTCTTTGAGGATTATGAGGAATCTCAGTAATATGAGTAATGTTAAATTGTTATCAAAACATCTCAAATGTCTGACTATAATAGTTTTATTATCTGTCTTAATCTGATTTCGAACACCAAGTACAGAAAAACAATGTAGGCAATGACTAATTTTATTTTTAGTTGTTTTATCTGTTAAAGCAGTTGTAACTAGAAATCCTGAGAAGGTATCAATAGTCACATGTATATTTTTTATTTTTTTTAAATCATAAATATTAGTAACATCTATTTGTCATAATTGACTAGGTATGAGTCTTCAAAGAGTAACACCACTGTGTTGTATATGAAGAAATTGAGGACAAGTCTTTATAATTTGCTGTGTTCATTTTCTAGAAATATCAAATTGTTGTCTCAAACTATTGCTATTTTGATGATGTAAAGTATGAGATTGTTTGGCTACTTGTTTTTGTGTAAAGCCTATAATCTGTTTGGTATGTAAACCTGTCGTGATAGTGTCCTCACTAAGGGGTGTAGGCAATCTAGTCCTCACTAAGGGGTGTAGGCAATCTAGTATGAGGCCTTAAATGTCTTATAAAGTAAGGAACAGTGTATTTTCTTAAATTAAGTTGTACTTGTATTTGTATAAATAATTGTAAAATTGGAGAATTAGTAGTATCTAAAAAAAAGGAACAATTTTAAGCAATTTTAAACCATGAGCTATATATTGTCTATCAGTATATAAATTAAAAGTTTGATTTTTTTAAACATTTTTTAAAACAGTGGCATAATTTTTTTTTAAAGATTTATTTATTTATTTTATTTATGAGTACACTGTAGCTGTCTTCAGACACACCAGAAGAGGGCATCGAATCTCATTACGGATGGTTGTGAGCCACCATGTGGTTGCTGGGATTTGAACTCAGGACCTCTGGAAGAGCAGTCAGTGCTCTTAACCGCTGAGCCATCTCTCCAGCCCCCAACAGTGGCATAATTTAATTATTTAGCATGTAATTTAATTATTTGTGAAGCAGGGGGGAAACTGGAGAGAATAAACATGTGATTTAGTTATATATGATGTCTTCTCATTGGATGAGCTGTCTGTAAATATAGCAAACGTATTTTCTATCAGCCATATGTGTAAATTTATAGGAAATATAAAAGTATGTATAGCGGCAAATTTTAATAACTTGTCTTTTGGATAATGATTATCAAATTTGTTGAAAAACTTTGTATATGTAATAGACCAAATATCAGTATTTTGTAATATGCAATTTAATTTTTGTTTGGAATAAGGAATATTTTATCAGACTCTTTTATTCTTGAATAAAAGAGCCTATAAAAGAAAAGAGTATTTTCTTTTTTAAAATACTTTGATTTTGTCTTATAATTTTGTATTAACATAGTAACAGCTTTAGAATAGGGTGTTTAAACTTTCTTTGGAGATGAAGAAAGATGAATCTACATTAATGGTCTTTTTTGTCAAAAGACTTCTGTGAAACAGCCAACAATTGGTCATAGTCTATACAATGTATTTGTTGTTGGCTAATAGTTTTCCTTCTATTTTTTTGTAAAGTTATTTGTCCTTAGTCAGTTAATTGTCTAGGGGAATTAGGATTTCTATTCCCTTGAGAAATATTAAACAGTTTTAAGTTTTTTATGTGGCAAGTTTAAGGTGAGGTTTTAGCCTATTACCATCTCTTAACAGCTTTTGAAAATCATTTAGAGTAAATGAACTATCTTTTTTATTTCAATTTTTTGTGTCACAATTTGTTTAGGATTTAACTGATGTCTCAAATATTGAAAAGGATATTGTCATATATCCGACAGGGCAGCGTTAGCTGGTGGTGGTCTCGTGTTGCCCGTGGGCTGCAGATGTTCAAAGTTTCTAGTACCCCTACTGGAATGAGCATCTTTGATCTTTTCT